CAGCAGAGTAAGATGATCGGCAGTACTGCAGTACAGCAAGCAGTGAAAGAAAAAAGCAGCCACTAACGAGCACTAGACTCTAATATAGAGTAAGGCAAGCAAGCCCCATGGCAAGCACAGGAGCCTGCCAATTACTAGCCTAACGGCAATAACAGCTATAAACTCAATCTAGCACATTCCAATCAAACCTCTTATCTCGAACCCTTCGAGCCCCACGTTGGGCGCCAAAAAGGACTGGCGTGGTTTAACCCCAGCCGGCAACTGAGCACCACATGGCCACTCGCTCACTCCCCCCTGGTGGGATGGGGGAGAGAAGTAGAAGGGTAAAAGTGCAAAAACTCGTGGGTTGAGATAAAGGCAGTTCAATAAGTAAAGCGAAAGCCGCGCACACAAGCAAAGCAAAACAAGGAATTAATTCACTACTTCCCATGGGCAGGCAGGTGTTTAGAGCCATCCCCAGGAAAGACGGGCTCCATCATGCGTAGTAGTTCCTTGGGAAGACAAACACCATAACTCTGAACATTCCCTCCTTCCTCCTTCTTCCCCCAGCTTTATATGCTGAGCATGACGTCATATGGTATGGACTATCCCTTTGGTCAGTTGGGGTCAGCTGTCCCAGCTGTGTCCCCCCCCAGCCTGCTCGCTGGTGGGGTGGGGTGAGAAGCAGCAAAGGCCTTGACGCTGTGTCAGCACTGCTCAGCAGTAACTAAAACATCCCTGGTGTTATCAACCCTCTTTTCAGCACAAATCCAAAACAGAGCCTCATGCTAGCTACTCTGGAGAAAATTGACTCTATCCCAGCCAAAACCAGCACAGGTACTCGGAGTCAAGCATCCATCTGTGGGGCTGTCATGGCTCAGCTTGGTGATGCAAGACGTGCTGTGTGGCCGGAGCGAGCCTGTGCAGCGGGGCTGGTCTTTTTTAACTGTTTTGGAGAAGAGCTCCTGGAAGAGCAGTGGCTTTGCAAGCAAAGCTCCCGGCTGCCAGGCGCTCCTGCCCTGCGCTGTGCACAAAGCCGGTCGGGGAAGCTGCACGGGGAGGTTAGAGGTGAGAAATTACCCCCCCCTGTGTTTCTCCAGGTTGGAGCTTGGACAGGGTTTGGCAGGGACTCGGCACTGTGCCACACAGTGGGAGACGACTGCAGGAGCACGGTGCTGTGTCATTTTGGGGCTGGTGGGAGCCATCCAACCAAGGGCGCTTTGGGCGTCTGCCTCTGCCCCATGGAGGACCATGTTCTGATGGAGACATGACTTTAGGTGACTAGGGTTCGAGCTTTTGGCACTGCCATCTCTGGTCCCCGGGGAATGACTTGTTTGTGAGCACCTGGTGACACGGTGCTGCAAAACAGCCAGCAGCGATTTATCGAGAGCAGGTCTCATCAAAGCAGTGTCACCCTCTGCTAGGACAGGGTGACAACCGCCTGGCCACAGCGAGGAGCAGGGCCTGGCCACCTCACCTCTGCGCGCTGCTCGCCGGAGCTGGTGGATGTGGCATGGAGACTGAGGCTGTTTCTTTGCATGTGCCAGCGAGCCGAGGTCCCAGGTGCTGGCTGAGCAGGGGACGATGGCTGAAGTGGCAGGTGACATGGTGTTCACGTGCATGTGGTAGAGGATGGGGCTCAGAGTGAGCTGGGGGCACCGCTCATCCCTGCAAAAGATGGATCCTGGCCGCCTCTCCCAGTAACCCAACTGGTGTCGTGGTTTAACCTCAGTCGGCAACTGAGCACCACGCAGCCGCTCGCTCACTCCCCCCGCCCCCGGTGGGATGGGGGAGAGAATTGGAAAAGCACAAGTGAGAAAAACTTGTGGGTTGAGATAAAAACAGTTTAATAATTGAAATCAAATGATAGTAATAATAATATGATAATAATAATAATACACAAAGCAAGTGATGCACAGTACAATTGCTCACCACCCGCCGACCGATGCCCAGCCAGTCCCCGAGCAGCAGCCCCCCCGGCCAGCTTCCCCCAGTTTATGTACTGAGCATGACGTCACATGGTATGGAATGTCCCTTTGGCCAGTTTGGCTGTGCCCCCTCCCAGCTTCTTGTGCACCCCCAGCCTTCTCAGTCGGTAGAGCATGGAAAACTAGAAAGTCCTTGGCCAGTGTAAGCATTACCTAGCAACAACTAAAACATCGGTGTGTTATCAACTTTGTTCCCATCCTAAATCCAAAACACAGCACTGTACCAGGTACTAGGAAGGAAATTAACTCTATCCCTGCCGAAACCAGGACAACTGGAAAGTGATGGGGCTGGGCAGAAAGGTCATTTGCCTTCCAGCCAGGGCACTGAGGCAGGGTGGTTTGGCCAGGGTGCTGAGGGGACCCTGGCAAAACCAGTGATGAACTAGAGCCTGCAAAGACCTGATCCACCCGTTGTAGCCACAAAATCCATCTTGCCTGCAAGGATTTTTGTGCCTCCTGGAGGAGTCCCGTTCCCAAGCGATCGGTGTGGCTGGGCATGATCTCCAGGGTCAGTCCGGATGCTGTGTCCGTTGCATAACCAAAATTTGGGGGGAAGATGTGTCCAGTGAAGCTTTTGCATGCCTGCAGCTGGGCTGGTCTCCACTCTCCCTGGCAGTGGAGCTGCAGATGGCTGGACCCTGCAGGTAGTTGAAGCTGTGCCAGAGGCATCAGCATCTAGGACAGTTGGAGAGGGAAGAGGGGACATCATATTTCCACCATTCAAAGTTGCTTTCAGAGAGCAGCTGATGCAGAAGGACCTGAGCGTGTTGCAGTGCATTGAAGATGCCGCCACAGGTGCCAGGGCAGCAGGGACCACCACGTACAAGCCATCCTGGACCACAACATGTCACGTTCCCAGCTCGGCCTTGTTTGGACAGCACGAGTGGTTTTGTGTTGGCCCCTTGGCCATGGGCAGCCTGGAGGCAGGCACCGTGGGGGGGGGGAAGGATTTGGGACAGGGAGCAAGGCCGTGCTTTGCTCACGGAGACATGCTCACTCCCATCTCTCATGGGGGAAAGCAGAGGTGACTCCTGGCTCCTGCAGCCCATCCCTTCCTGGAAGAAGAGCTACCATCACACGTGAACCATGTCTCAGGTGGCTTTTGCACAGCCAGCAGTTCTCATGATGTGGTCCGGGATCCCTGATGGAGGTGTCTGCAGCTTCCAAGAGCTCTTTAGCAAGAACATCTGCCGATCAGAGCCTGATAATTCCTTAAAACCTGGGCCATAAAGCCAAATTGTGTGTCGAACCTCAGTCCACAGGAGACATCCCCTGTGTTGGCCGGTGGTAGAGGGATTCCTGCCTGCTTCCCCTCCTCTCCCCCCGTGCCCTTCCCTGCAAGTCCCCGGCGTGGTTTCTGGGTGCACCGTGGCTCAGAGACCCCTTGGCTGCTGGGCTTTGCTGATGAACGCAAAAGGGAAATGAAAAAGGGAAGCAGCGCGTATTGCAGAACCGTTGGAAGAGGTCAGGAAAACCCTGGGGACTTGCTGACGTGGTGGGTTTGGAGGAGCCGTTGGCTCAACCAGGCACAAAATTCTGTTTATCAGAAAATAGCATAAATTGCCTTCCCTTTTTGAGGTTTGTGTTAACTGAAAGAAAACCCAGAAAAGTCCTAAAGAAACCGAGATTTTAAGCCAGTAAAGAGCTGCTGGGATGAGTTTGGCCATGGTTGGTGGTTCCTGCAGGTTTCTGGACTGATGGCCAAAAGCCCCAGCGCCATGTTATCCTGGTTATCAAACCCTCTTCCCTGTCGGCTTCCCTGGCATCCCGCAGCAGGGCCTTCCACAAGGATGCATTTAAAAACCAAAGAAGTTAAACCTGTTTTGAGTCCCAGTGAGGCTGCCTGCTGGGTGGGAGGCTGCAAGAGGCAGAGGGTGAAGGGCTGTGGCACCTCCTGCCTCCTGCCCCAGGGATGGTGCTGGGGCCGCCCGGAGCATCCCTCTGTGCTGCTTAGCCCAGGACCATCTCGTGGTGTTGGGATTTGAGCAGCAAACTGGAAGGTGGGGTGGGCTTTAACAGACCAGCTCTGTCCTGTCCCTCTGGTGCGGTGCCGGCCACGTGGGCTGACGAGCCGGCATCTCCCCGCGGCGACAGAGGGACTGTTCCTGCGCACTGCTCTGACAAGACTAACCTAGTTTTGCAGCAGCACTGGGATGCTGCAAATCTGCGGCGATTTCATGCTTCTCCTGCCTGACATGGCTCGGAGCTGTGCTGCTGGAGGACGTGCGGTGGCAGCTCCTGGGGAGGGGGGACACTTTGCATCCCCCCACGTCACCCAGCACGAGCACCCGGCTTTCATGCACGGGCAGGGTGCAGGGGCTGGAGGACCCGTGCAGGCAGGCTGCAGGCAGGCAGCAGGCAGGCAGCAGACCTGCAGGAAAGCAGAAGTCAGTTTGGTTTGGGCTGGGCCATGAACGATCCGAAGCAGGAAACGTGCTGGAGCCCCCAGGACTTGCAGCCGAAAAGGAGCTGATGCAGGAGGTGGCTCCCCTGGGCGGGAAGCCCGGCCGCCTGCCTGCACCATGGGTCCTTGTGGGGCTGCCAACGGGTCTTGTGGGAGAGGTTTGGGCCCGGCACGGCTGACATGAGGTCACTGCAGTGGGCAAAGGTCTCTCTGCCTCCTCCCGTGAAGGGCTTGGGAATCCCACCTGGAAAGGGCTGGTTTGGGTGAGCCTCTGCCACCCCACCAAGACGGCAGTGTGTCTGGGGCTGGGGGTGGCAGCTCGCTGCAGGGCTGGGGGCTTCACCAGGGCTCCCAGGGCACCCTGCACGCCATGCAGCAGCAGCAGCAGCAGCAGCAGCAGCAGCAGCCGTGGGGCTGATTATTTCCCTCCTGCAGGCATTTTGTCTCCTTGGCTCTAATTTTGCTCCTGGTGTGGACGAGGAGGAGGGTTGTGCTGTACCTACCGCAGGGCTGGCAGAGCGTTTGGGGTTGTTTCTAGGCAGGCTGTCAGCCTCACTGCCCTGCTTGGGGCAGGCTGGCGGTGTTTCTATGCCTCGTAACGCTGTTTCACCTTGTTGCTTGCAGTCGGGACAGTTCAACGAAGACATGATCCCGACGGTGGGCTTTAACATGAGAAAGATCACCAAGGGGAACGTTACCATAAAAGTAAGGTGCAGATGTTATCACTGGTGTGGGCTCTTGGGATGAAAGGTGGGGTGAAGGGAGACTGGTGGGACTTCTGCTGGAGGTTGAAAGATGCCAGCAGCCCCAGCTGCAGTGGGGAAGATCTGCCATGTTAGGTTTCTGCAGGTACCCACCAGAGGAGATGGGGGGAAGGGATGTAGGAGATCCAGACCTCTGCATTAAGAACTAGTCCGGGCTTCAAAGCTGGAGGTTTTCTTATACCTCTGGCTTGCTGGCAGGGACTCGTGGATGTGGTCACCTTGCTGAGGGTGGGAGCACTGGGATAAAAGGTCATGGCTTGCAGTGGCAATCTCAGCCTCGAGAGTAAAGGGAGAGGAGGTTTCTACCCCTTCTGGATCTTTCCAGGGCCCTGGATTAGACTGGGAAATAACGGTGGGACGGGCTTGAAAAGCTGATTGGGGATCTCTGCCTGCTGCAGAAACATTTCCAAGAGCGTGCTGAGTGTTTTGAAATGGCAAATGCATCAGAGAAAGGCCAGGAGGGGCAGTGGGCATGGGGAGGAGCCCCCTAGCTTGGGCCAGGGGGTCCCTCTGTGCCAGCAGAGGCACATTGCAGGAGGTGTTCAACACCCTCCAGCTGCCCTTCCTGAGATGTCTCCTTTCTTTATCGAGTCGGGAGCCTCCTTGTTGGGTTTGAGATGAAGAGGAGGGGATCGGTGTGGGTTTCGTGCATGCCGGGTACTCTGGCCGTGTGGCTGTGTGGGGAAGGGGGGGCAGGAGGGTGGGATAACGGGCAGGACGGTGGGATAACGCTGCCTTCTCCCTGTCACAGCTCTGGGACATCGGTGGCCAGCCGCGGTTGCGCAGCATGGGGGAGCGGTCCTGCCGTGGAGTGAGTTCCATTGTGTGAGTATCCCTGGGAGCCAAGAGCCCCTTCACCCACGCGCCGACGCTGAGCCCCACCAGCGGGTGGGGGCACGGTCCCATCACCCCACCCAAGGGTGCTGGGCAGGGCTGAGCTGGGGGAGCTGCGGTGCCTTCGCTGCCGGAGCCGGATGCCCGTGTTGGGAGTTGAGATGCTTCCCCCTGGGACTGGTGCCCCCATGGGCTTTGAGCACAGGGCAGCCAGGTCCCCGCCAGCCGTGGCAGACCCTTCTCTTCCAGCATCACTCGGCCTGGCTCTGTTCCTCGGATCTTGCCCTTCCTGGCTCCTGTGCTTCCCCTGTGCTGCCTGTTCACCGCAGGGGCTGAGCAAAGGCCGTCGGTGTGGCTCAGCCCTTTCCAAGAGGCTGGTTTTAAGGTTTTTTTCGCCAGCAGCACGTTTCCAGGCTGTGGTGTTCATGTGCTGCTGGATGAATCTTGTGGTGAGAGAAGGAGTCTCCCTGTAACACCTGCTGCTGACTGTCAGCAAGTCCCTTGAGTGTCCCCACGTGTCCCCTGCTTGCAAATGTTGCAGTAAGCACAGTCCCAGGGAGTCCAGGCTGGGGATGAGCCTGGCAAGATGCTCACGGGAAGCAGGCTGCCTGCTCCTAAGGACAAGAATTTACCCTAGAAGACCACAACGGTGTTGCAATGCCCTGAGATTTTGGAGGGCTCAGTTTCGGTACTGCCCTTCCCAACTGTAGGTCTGGCAGGTGAAGAGGAGTGAGGGACCGCTTGTCCTGCTTGTTGGGACAGCAGTGTCTGGTCCTGCCCTTGCTGATTGTCACCGTGTCGGGACATGTCCTTGACACTTTTTATTACAGTGAGCTTTGCTGGAAATGACAAAATCCCTTTTTTTTTTTCATTCCTTTTACTGCTTCCTTCCATAATTCTATATTTTTTCCAAAGCGGCCCGTCTGGTTGAGAGGAAACAAAAGGACCTGTGGCCATCCAGGTCACGCTTTAGTCTTCCTTCCTCGCCTTGAGCTGTGTCATGTCCCTTTTCTCTTGCCTTCGGCCCTCCCCCCCGATCTGGCGTGCTGAAAGCTTGTGGCAGTGCCTGGGTGGTGTTTTTCCCTCTCCCTCTTGGTACAGCCATACATGTTTTCCTGTGTTCAGCACTTCAGTAGCTAAAGGCTCTTTTCCTATTTTTAATAAACCCCACAAGGCCTGATGAAGCTTGATGGTGTTTCTCACTTCTCTCCCAGTTTCTTGATCTTTAAAACAAAGGCTGCTTTGATCAGTTCCTCTCCCCAGTTTTGGCTTCACTTACGTCCTCTGCAGGATGGGTGTCCGCTCATAAGAGCTAAATCCTTCCCTAAATCTCCCCCGTCTGCTCAGAGCAGGCATTGCTGACTGCTGGCTTTGCATGGCCTTTGCTCTGTGCCACATGCCCAAGATTGCTCCCGTAGAGGAGACGAGCAGGTCCTTCCCCCTGCCAGGATCTCGAGTCAACGTCTTCTCTTTTCCATCATCAGCTCCTCTTCTCTTCTCCACTTGTCCTCTATTCTGGGTGTCTCCATAAGGAGTTGCCATGTGCAGACGAGCTTCGCTTGGGTGCTTGGGGACAATGTGTGTTTTGCAGCTTCTTCTGCCCGGGCAGTGCCTGAGCTCCCCTCGCTCGCCGTGTCCCTGCTGTCAGTGGGGTGGGCCCCTGCGGGGACGGGGACAAGGAGGTCCCCCACTCCCCTGGGAGACACGAGAGGCTCTCAGCCCCACAGCCTTCCTTGGGAAGAGCGTCCTGGGGGAAGGATCCCGTTACCCATCACCTCCACGCGCTGGCCTGGGAGCCAGTGGGGGCGATGCGGCTGCCATGCGAGCAAGGTTTGGTGGTGGCACAAACCTCAGCACACCACCGGGGCGCGGGGACCTCGGTGCCTGCGCTCAGGGGTGTTCCTTCCCTTGCAGGTACATGGTGGACGCCGCTGACCAGGAGAAGATAGAGGCCTCCAAGAATGAACTGCACAACCTGCTCGACAAGCCGCAGCTCCAGGGCATCCCGGTGAGCTGTTGCCTGGATAGGTTCCCCCCAGCTGCTCACGGTCCCCAGGCCGGCGGCTGCCAGGGTTTGCAGTGAGGGGCTTGCATCTTGCAGACCAGATTCGGGGGGGCGGATCCCCTTCCTTGGGGGGGTCCCCTTCCCCGCTGCACTCCTGCGAGAGCTGGGGAAGTGATGCTTTCTAGCCCAGGGCCAGACCAACCAGCAGGGAAGAGAGCTTTAGAAGAGACCACCCCCCGAAATGTGAGATCTGTCCTCTTGCATGAATTTGCACCTTATTTAGGGTGGGACATTAAGGTCTCGACTCCTAGGAGAGTGGCTGCTGGGCTGTGACATTTGCAGGAGGTGGGCTGTGGCGGCGGTGCAGGGCACACTGCGCGTGCCGGGGTGGGATGCTTACAGAGCATCCAAAATCGGCATCCTTTGAAAGGAGCTAATCGAGGATCTTGCTCAGATCTCAAATGTTTGCTGCCAACTAAATTAAGCTCCTGACATAATGCGCTGCATTTGCAGCCCTTCTGAGTGCTCTTTTTTGAGAACAAGTCTCCAAATTTAAATTGGGGGATGCTGCATTACCGTGTTGCTGCAGAGGCCCCAGCTCACCCCGGGAAGGCGGCTGCCGCCTCAGTGCTGTCCTTGTCAGATGACAGTCGCGTGGCGCGCTCCAGAGGGATGAATGAGTCCTGCCGGGTGATTATTTTCCTTGCGTAGTCTGAGGATGCCTTTGTGGATGCAAAAAGCCTTGAAGAAAGGAGAGATCAGTAGATGGTGCAAACAGCCATTGCTTTTTTGGTCTGGCTGCCTGCGGAGAGCAGGTTCTGCGCAGCATCCGCACCTCGCTCCTTCCTGATAATGTTGGTTTTAGCCATTTCACTTGATGTTTTGCTCAAAGACAGCAAGAGGCTCCTGGGAGAACGTCCTAGATGGCACGAGAGATGCTGGTGCCCTTCAGGGAGGATGTGGTCTGTGGGGCCAGCTTCTCACTGGGACTAGAGAGTACATAGGAGATGCTGTGTATGGGCTAATTAAGGCTGTTAATTGAAGTGCTCTGCCTTCTGGTTGCCCACTTGAAGGGGTTTTCTTCATCTGGGCACACGCTGGTGAAGTGGCCAGGGCTGTCTTGCATCTCAAGCAGGGTCCACTTCTGGGTGGCAGAAGCAGGTTCCTGCCTGGTCTGGTGGCCGGGAGCTTCAGGTGTCCCCTTTCCCGTCCTGCAGGTCCTAGTCCTGGGGAACAAGCGAGACCTGCCCGGTGCCTTGGATGAGAAGGAGCTCATTGAGAAGATGTAAGTGTGCTGGTGGCCCGGGCAGCCGCGGTGGGGCTGTGACACAGTGTGACCCCTCTGTTCCTGCTGTGTCCCCACCGGTTGGTCCCCCCCGCCGTGCCCTGCCGGTACTCCTTCCCCAGCCGGGGTGGCATCGCGGTGCCTGGGGTGGGCTGGCAGAGAGGGGTGGCTGGGGATGTCCTGAGGCAGCGGCCGGCGGAGGTGACGGCTG